CTGTTTTATTTCAGGAATCTAAGTTTTCAACATAATCACCACCATTTAAGTTGTAAAACAACATAATTGAAGCACTCAGTATAAAGAATATGATGTTCTTTGGAAAATAAATTACAAAATCTTAATTTAAATATTGGACAGGGCTTCCCTGGTGGCGCAGTGGTTGAGAGTCTGCCTGCCAATGCAGGGGACACGGGTTTGTGCCCCAGTCCAGGAAGATCCCACATGCAAAAAAAAAAAAAGAATAAATATTGGACAGATTTCCTCTCTGTTTTCTCAATTATTTATTATATAAATCTCATAAGGATTTATGGACATGTCCACTTACATAGATATAGAAATATGTATGGAAAACTAGACACCAAAATATCCAACTGTAGCTATTTTGGGGCTATAAGATTGAACAGGACTTTTTTCTCCTTATTTTCCTTCCCTGTATTTTACACTTTTTGAAATGACTTTAGGTTGTGTAATTTTAAAAATCCACAATAAATATTTTTCTTTAAGTTACTAGCTAGCTATGTTTTGCATATGAATTTTTTTCAGGAAACCAGTACAAATGTATTTGGTAAAACATAGACGTGAGAATAATGAATGTAGCAATTGCTCTTTATTTTCAATATGACTTGATTGGAATGTGCAACTGGTTTCATAAATGCAACCACAAAGAAAACTGTTTTCAAAAATTAATAAAAGTTATAGCCAAAGAGGATGAGCAGTTGCCATATATAGAGTAGTGGAATGAGTTTTATTCCTAAACAATTAAATGATGCAGCATAAATGGTTTCAAATGGCAAAAATTCTCTCTGTGTTTTAAAATTTGATATATGTTTATTAAATTAGCCATATTAACTATCATATTTAAACCCCTGTTTAGATTTATAGTTATATTAAAGTAATTCATGCCCATAGTTTAAAGCATTGATTTTCAAAAAGGTTTAATTGAGACAAGAAGGAAGAAATGCATTTTACATCACAATAGAGGATATGTGTAAAAAATGCTGGTAGTAACCCATTAAATTAATCTTTCAATTCACTAAATGATTTTTACTCATAGTTTGATTGATAACTATAAACAATGCTTATGCTTATGTTATGACTTCTTGATGTTTCAGTTTTAGACATTATCTATGCTTTTCCATTTCAGAGAATGAACATTTAGCCCTCTTTTACCTACACCATCTTTTGGTACACTTCATGTGCTTGCATTCCACTCACCCTCCCACCCTTGCACCTTTCTCCTAATATTGATTGGGTCAATAGCCAACATTTACATAATTATAACTATGCAAATGCTACTCATGGCTGAGCCATATTGAATTTTGTCAAATGCTTTTTTTGCATCTCTTGAGTTTGCCTTGACTTCTTGCATTTGCTAGAACCACCAGTAGATTTTTGAATATAAGTTGTGAAAGTGCATATCCTTGTCTTGTTCCTGATCTTAAGGGGAAAGCTTTCAGTCTCATCATTAAGTATGATGTCAGCTGTGGGCTTTTGGTAGATACCCTTTATCAGGTTGAGGAAGTTCCTTCCTATTCCTAATTTATTAAGCACTTTTTTAAAACATGTAAGTGCATTGGATTTTCTTCTATGGCTATTCTTCTGTGGCTATTCAGATGATCATGTGGTTTTGCCCTTTATTACTATTGGATTTGGTTTGCTAGTACTTTGTTGAGGATTTTTGCAACTACACTGATAAGGAATATTAATCTGTAGAAGTTTTAAAATTTTTATTCTCGTGATATCTCTGTCTGGTTGTCATTTCAAAGTAATACTGACCTCAAAGGATGATTTTGGAGGGCTTCCCATCTCTCCTATTTTTTGGAATAATTTGTAAAGAATTTATACTATTTCTCCTTGAAATGTTTGCACGATTTCACTAGTGAAGCTATTTTAGCCTGGGCTTTTCTTGTGGGAAGTTTTAAAATTACGAATTTAGTCTCTTAACTTGTTATAGGTATATTCAGATTTTCTGTTTCTTCTTGAGGCACTTTGGGCAATTTGTATCTTTCTGAGAATTTGTTGATTTCATCTAGGTTATTTAATTTATTGGCATACAGTTGTTCATAATATTCCCTTATACTTCTTTTATTTCTGTGAAGTCAATACTGATGAACACTCTTGCATTCCTGATTTTAGAAATTTGATTCTTACCTCTCTTTTTCTTCATCAGTCCAGCTGAAGGGTTTTTTTCAATTTTGCTGATCTTTTCAAAGAACCAACTTTTGGTTTTGTTGACTTTCTCTATTGTTTTTCTATTCTCTATTTCATTTATTTTCACTCTTATTTCCTCAGTTTTATATCCTTGTAATGCTAGCTATTACAGAATTAAGGCCAGTCTTATGTCAGATTTAGTCAATGTACAATTTGGCAAGGCAAAGCTGTATTCAAGGGACTGATAGAGTATTCTTGACTATTTTTCATTCCTGTACCCCAACCTCAATTCATGGTGTTCACAGGTTTGAGGAGATCCTCTGTATTTGGATTCTTCACAGGAACAGAACCAACATGATATCTCTATATCTATCTATCTATTGAGAGAGATTATCTATCTATGGATATATGTATATATATCTTTTATATAATATATAAATAAATATTCATTTACTTATTTTAAGGAATTGGTTCACTTCATTATGGAGGCTGGGAAGTCCAAAGTCTGCAGGGTGGGCTAGCAGGCTGAAGACCTAGCGAAGAGCCAGTGTTGTAGTTCAAGTCCAAAGACTGTCCACTGGCAGATTCTCTCTTGCTCAGGGAAGGTTAGTCTTTTGTTCTATTCAGGCCTTCAACTGATGGATGAGGCCCACCCACATTATGGCAAACAATCTGCTTTACTCAAAGTCCACTGATTTAAATGTTAATCTCATCTAAAAATACCCTCACAGAAATATCCAGAATAATATTTGGCCATGTGTCTGGGCACCATGACCCAGCCAAGTTGGCACATAAAATTAACTATCATATTTTCTAAAGAGGGTCATTCTTCTAAAAAATGTATTGGGTGGGGAATAAAAGGGAATCAGAGCCTCAGAGTGTTAGTGTGGAGGTAGTAGAGGTCTCCAGATTTTTTCTTTACCACTCCTGAGGAAATGAAAAGTTCAGAAAAATGCGTAGGTCCAGGACCCAAAGTATTTTATAGCATTCAAGATTTACAAGCTGTGCCTCTTTCTTGAATTTCTCTTCAGATTGGACATAGTAGATTAGGGAAGTTTTGTTAAAGGGAAGAGAAGTGGAAAGGGCAAGTAACTGCATCTGCAATTATTATTATGTGCTGACCTCAATTTTAGAATACTTTAAAAAATGGAATGTTGTCCATTTGTTAAAATGATAAAGATGATATTTAGGACCATGTCAAAATATTTAAAACAACACTATATTAAAATGTCGATGTTAAAACATTACATATTTAAGCAAAAATTGAAAGAACACAAAGATATGATAATGGACATAAGGTTTCATTTGGGGGTGATGAAAAATTCTAAAATTGTGGTGATGGCCATACAGCTGTGAATATACTAAAATCCATTGCACTGTACACGTTAAGCTGGTGAATTGTATGACATGTGAATTATATCTCAATAGAACTGTTATAACAAAAAAAAGTACACAAAGAAATAAAAGCATTTGTTATAGTGCTGTAGAATTGTGGGCAAAATTCCCTTTTATTATTATTATTTGGCCACGCTGTGGCAGCTTGTGGGATCTTAGTTCCCCAACCAGGGACAAAAACCATGCCCCCCGCAGTGGAAGTGCAGAGTCCTAACCACTGGACTGTCAGGGAATTCCCAAAATTCCCTTTTAACTTTTGTGCAATAATAAATGATTCTTTTAATTTAGGAGTGAGGTTTTTTATACTACTATAACTTCAAGCATTTCTATTTTTCTCTTTTTTTTCTTTCTGCATATTGCACATTGTTGTATATAACCTTTTTGTGCATATTAGGCAAAAAATAATCTTCCATTATGTCTCCAAATAATGTTAATATGACATTCCTAACAATTAGAGAGGATGATGATGTACACATTTTATGGGTCTCAGAATTTATAGAATTGTGGGTTCTTAGTTTTTGGTATTTCCAAACTGGCTTTCTTAGAAAGCAAGAACCAGCCACCAAAGTAAAACATCATAATGAGAAACAAAATGTTATTTTGTATTCTCTCCTCCTCACATCCGAAAAGGAATCTATTTCAGAGCCTGTTGAATAAATGATGCCACTTCTCTTAAGATTAATTTGTGAATTTCTCACAGGAGACAGGAACAAGCCTTGCATCTAGCACCAAAGTACACTGAACAGTATTTTTAATGTTCAGACAATACCAGGGTTGTGAAGAGAAAGAAAAAGGTGTTGCATACTCCTTCTTCCCCCCAAACTGATGGAACACCCTTTCCCTTTTTGCTCTGTGCATAGGGTCTTTTGGTCCCCTGCCTCTGGGTTTCCTCTGTGGGTTCATCACTAACCAGGCGTAGTTTGCCCAACATTAGCTGGTTGGGCTCAGCTTGAGAGCTTCTTTGGAGAAGATTGTGCGGATACAATATCTTTTAAACAGCATTTTTTGCCGTATCTTTTACAACTTGCAACATCAGACACACAAGGGGAGGAGTAAGAGGCCCAATAGGGCTGCAGACCAGGCAAGGCCAAGAATACACGGGTAAGGCCACTAAGGATAACAGAGCGAATAAAGGCAGCCAACTGGCAATGAAATGGTGGGCTAAGAACAGAAGAGGGACTGACGAAGGAAGATGGGCTGAGGGAAGGATGGTGGTGAAAACGGGTGTAACCAAGAGGAAGAAAGGTTGAAGAAGCAGGATGGGCCAGGGACCTGGGCGAGGGGGAACACCGGAGGGTCAGCCTCAGGGAAAGCTGGGGCTGGGTGGAGGGGTGGGGAGAAGAGGGCGGGCTCAGCGCATGCGCCTGAAGCACACTGCGGCGATCCTGGAGAGGCGGCGCTGTCTGGGCATCGGCGCTGTCTGGGCATCGGCGCTGTCTGGGCATCGGCGCTGTCTGGGCATCTGCGCTGCGGCTGGAGGTACGGCTGGTCCTCTGCCTGCTGTCCGCTGCCACCTTGGTCTGCTCTTGCCACCCTGGCGCCGCGAACTCTGTGCCGCCTCTCCCTTCACCCTGTCTTGGGACGGCCGGCGCTAAGAATTCATGCTATGACCTTCGATGCAGCCAGGAGGTAAAGGAACGACATAGGGGAAGAACATGGAGGGCGGCGGAGGGAACTCGGCCCAGGGGGATCCTTAATTTGTGTGTTCTCCCGGTTCACGAGAGGAAAAAATGGGGGACAGTACGCGCCTCAGACCTACAAAAGGATGTTGAGCATTTACTTCCCATTGTGTAAGTAATACAGACTTCTTTCCATTAATCAGGGTTGAGGCACCTGGGTGTCGGCATTTTCCATAACGTTCCTTGCTTTAAAATTTTTTGGAGTTCCTCATATGCAGTAGAAGGTGTATTTAAAGGTCGAGGTTGTAGGACTAGGAGATTATGATAGCTTTCTTTGCCTTTGTTCAGTGTGGTGGCTCTTATTACGGAATCCGAGGGTACTCTAAGCCCCTCCCTGAGGATCGGGACGGATTCTATCTGGATCTGGCATCTGCTCTGCAAGCAATGACGTCTTTTCCGTATTCCACTTCCTAGTTTATCACACCTACCCCCATTAGGGAAGGCTGGTAATGGCTCTCCTTGATTGAGCACTGGGGCACAACTATAGCAAGAAACACATCCATATATCATCAGGCACTTTTATATAAAAAACTGAGGTGGGAGGACAGACGCGGTGCGCACGTGTATTTGAGAGTGTGGGGATGCGCGGCGCGGTAGCGTGCAGGTATGCAGTCATCCTTTGGTAACCGCGGAGGATTGGTTGCAGGACCCCCGCGGATACCAAAATGCGCGGATGCTCGAGTCGCCTATGTAGAACGGCATAGTATAGTCAGTCCTCCGTATCCGCGGAGGGTCCACTGTATTTGAGGTCTGATGTCTGTGGGGGTGGGGTGGGGGGGCGACCATTGGGGAGAGCGGGAGGTACGCACGCGCAAGGCTTGGGGCAGGGGGATGGGTCGAATGCGTATTAAGGAAAGCAAAGTTGCCGGTAGTTGATAGGCGCGGAAGGGAAGAGTGAAGGTGCACATGCGCATTCGAGACGACTTTGTGACGGCTTTAACGGGAGGAGGGGAGAGGCGCGCATGCGTATTTCAAACGGAATGACGGGGAGGGGAGGGGAGGTGCGTAGTGTACGTGTAATTAAGATTGCAAAATGGCGAGGGGGGAGGTAAGTTGTCTTTTTGCTTGGCCATCTTGGGCTAGGAGGGCCTGCAGAGGAGCAGATCGACCTTTCTAGTTGGGTGAGGGGGTTTAGCCTGAGTTGGAGTTGTCTTAGGCTGTGGCCAGATCCACCAGATAATAACACAGAATCTTAGCCCCTCTCTGGCCTATAGATAATGTGGGTTTAAAAATGCGGAGGCGATGATGACTTTACAAAAGGTTACGGCAGCAGGCTGTGTGTAGGAAATGCGTAAAACGGGAGCACTTGGAGACAAGGCCACATTCGGGCAGTACGCCTCTGGAGGGCTCTCTGTCGGACTTGCAGATCGTGGGCCGGTGTCCTTGGCTCTGGACACGTTCTCATTCCATCAGAGTAGCAGAACCCAGCGGTTGCAATATTGTGAGAACCTACTGATGGTCAGAAGCCCTTGGTTTTCTCCCCTTGAGGTTGTAGGGGTGAGGATTTGGCTGTTTCCAAGTGCTTGTTCCACTTTGCTTTAAACCTAGGATTTAGGCAAATGATAATGGTGGTATGAAGGTGACCTCGGTTCACACCCTTTCTTCTAAATTATTTTTTTCTGTAGAACTTTGAGCACGGTTTCGTCTAGGGGGACTATTTTTTTTTTAGGCAGCAGCACTGACATGGCTCTTAGAGGGCTGTCAGTAAGGATCTACTGTTAATTGCTAAAACTAGTAATTTAGCAGTTAGATATATAGAAGAAAGGGCACAGGATTCAAAATTGAGATAGGTCTTTTCAGTAATCCTAGCTGTGATCTCATACGGTCATTTTCCTTCTTTGGGCCTGTTTCCCTATCTATAATAATAATTATGCTTAAACGTCTTTGGAGCTTAAACTGTGTGCCAAGTACTGGGTCTACATGCTTTTACACATGCCTTAACTAATTTAGTACTCTGGACAGTCTTATGAAATAGCAGTACCGTTATTCATCTTTTACAAGTGAGAAATTTGGGGGACACAGGTAAAGTAAATCCAAGGCTTTATATCCGTTTGAATGACTGAGACTGGATTTTTATCCAGGTACTGTGGCTTCGGAATCCTGTGCTCTTAAACATTATATTTATCCACCAAAATCATGGGGCAAATTTAAAGGACCCTTCTTTTATGGTTTCAAATTTTATTTGTAACTTATCTATGATGTATAAGAAAGGAGACCTGTTTCCTGATTTTTATTCAGTGCATTGTACAGGGTTACATATGTTGAAGACAAAAAGTAAAGAATTGGTTTGGAGCCTAGTGGGGTGGCCATCCTTACCTACCCTTGTCTTCTGTGCTTTTTGTTCTGCAGAGGGTTTAAAATGGCCGACTGCGGCAGGCTGGACACACCCTTCTTGTTTTGCCTGATTTGAGATCTGGTCTGACGCTTTGAGACAACCAGTCATTTACCGCAGTAGAGATTTTTTCCTTACCCATTATTAATATTTTGGTGTTAATACCAAGGTTCGATAGTAAAGGAGAGGGTACTGCTTTTCTTTCTTATAATAAAAGAGAATACATGGATTTCTTTTATTATTTGGTTGGGATAGATTCATTGAAGCGGAATTACTGTGTCAAAGGGTATGAACATTTTTAACACTTAATATGTATTGCCAAGTTTCTTCCTGAAAAGGTTGTACCAATTTTTACCCACACAAGCATTGAGTAGTATTTATTAAAAACATTATTTTAATGGATTAAAAAAACAGTATTTAATTTTGCATTTCTTTGGTTGTAAGTTTGGATTCTGTTTTCCTCTATATGTTTCTTAGCAGTTTTATTTTCTTCCATGTGATGTTAGTTCATGTCTTATACTGATTTATCTGTTGGAGTTTTTAGTTTAGCGTTTACTATTGTTATCTATTTGAATGTGTTTTGTAAATAAAGGCTCTTACTCAGATTTCTGTAATGTTAGAAATATGTACTACAGGTTATTGTTTGCCTTTTAATTTTTGTTTCTAAATTTTTGGTTAGTAGAAATTTGAAATTGTGGTCAAATCACTCTATCTTCTGTTTCGTGATTTTTCTTCCATTAAGTTTGAATAGTTCCCTCAATGTAGAAATTTGGTAAATACCCATTGTAGCTTCATCTGAAGATAACCATCAAGTATGAGGGAAAAAGATCCATAATTTCACCACCCAGAGATAACCAGTGTTAATAAATGTGTTCACTTTTTTCATTCTTTCTGAATTTTTCTACAGTGATCACATATTTGTACTATTTTATATGGTGTTTTGTGTTTATAATGTGCATTTTTCCATGTTAAACATTTCTGTGATTGTCATTGAATGGTTTCATGATATTTTGTTGTATGGAAGTAGCTTAAGATTTTCAGTATTTTAAATTATGTAATTAATGTCTTTTCATTTAGTTTTTATTGTTTATCTATTTTGAGTTATTTCTTTATAGAACAGAGTTCAGAATGAGCATTATTCATCAAATAGTTTGAACATTGTAAAGACCTGCCAAATAGCATTCCAAACGTTGTCAATTTTTGTACGCAGTCATTTAGGTACATAAAATTTTTTTTACTTACTTTATATGTAAAAGAATGGTATCTTTGATTTATGGTACATTTCTCTGATTATTGCTGAGGCTGGACTCTTGTTAATTGATAGCTCCTATTTCCTTTTATGAACTATTCGACTTGGGTCTGAATGTTATCTATTTGTAAGAGCTCTATATTATGTGTTCTGTGTGAGAATATTACCCCTTGTCATTTGTTGCAAATGACAAACCTCATTTGTTGCACATACACTCCTGGTATATGTTTGTTGCCATTGAGTATGAAGAAATGTTTGTGATTCCAAAGAAAACTGCTGCATGGAATACATGTCAAATTCTTGGTAGCCATTTTGAAATAACATTTATTTGTTCTTTAAATAGATAACCATTTCTTTTCATCTAAAAGGAAAGCACTGTTTGCTGTACAGCAGTGATGCTCCCTCGTTATGGGTGTGGGGAGAAGACATGGCAACATTTTGTCCTTAATAAGACATGGCAACCAAGTAGACAAGACACAAAACAGTAGTCCCCCTCCCCCCATCCATTCGGGGACTGGTGTTCTTTTGAATATTTATGAGTGATCTGGGGGAGGATATGGACATAGTGGAATGTTCACATTTGTAGATAACACGGAACTCTTTGGAGATGTAAAATGGTAATAGGAACAAACCACAACACCTGAGAAGACATTGTGCTTGTGGGCTGACAATTGGCAGAATGGAACAGGGTAGATAAGAGCAGTGTAATGACTTTAGGGGAAAATAGTATGTTAAGCATACAAAATAGTGGCCTCAGAGACATTGGGTCCCAAGACAGGGATCTCAGTGTAAGCAGAAACAATTTATTGATGTCATCAGCTCAATTTGCGGTTGCAGGGACAGAAGACCCATTAAAAACTTAGGCCTGGGGCTTCCCTGGTGGTGCAGTGGTTGAGAGTCCGCCTGCCGATGCAGGGGGCACGGGTTCGTGCCCCGGTCCAGGAAGATCCCACATGCCGCGGAGCGGCTGGGCCCGTGAGCCGTGGCCACTGAGCCTGCGCATCTGGAGCCTGTGCTCCACAACGGGAGAGGCCCGCGTACAGCAAAAAACAAACAAACAAACAAAAAAAACTTAGGCCTTATTAAGAAGCAGTATGTGACACACAAAAATTCCATCCTATCTTTGTATAAAATGATCTGAACCAAATGACCAGTTAACACTAGTAATCTCTCCTCAAGGAGTCTCTTAACTACCTCTCACTGAATTTTGAGAAGGTGGTGGGAAGAGTGTGTTACCTCTCTGTTTCATTTTTCTTATTTATAATATGGAGGTGATTTAGATTATATATTCTCAAAGGTTTTTTGGAGGGATAAGGTATCTTATTTTGGTTTCCTGAAACTGAGTCTGTTATTTGTGGTTCAAAGAATC